ACAACTGGAAGGACATGTGTGTATGTATATACAAAGCAAGGCTGTGCCCGTTCAGAGATTCAACTGTGATGCAAGCACATGTAAACACAGAAGTGGGTTACCGTAAAACACAGTGTAACCAGCATTTAGCTCTCTATTTCATGTTCAGCCTTCTCTACAATCCAAAAGAAAATTTCACTCAATGGCAGGTTATTAGTATTCTGTAGCAAAACCACCCCTTCTCTCTTCAACCTGGCGTCCTGCGTATGGGTTGGACTACCTCAGTTTAAGACCCTAAGACCAACCTGCAGCCTATTTACAGCAGAGGCTGGCAAACCCCTCCCAATGTGGTCAGACTGGAGAACATTGTCTGAAGAGGCAACGGAGGAAGGATGCTGCCGACAAAGACAGAGGTCTCATCAGACGATCAGTGCTTTTAAGAGTTCATCTGGGGTAGCCCGTTAACTTAGTAAGAGCTGTAAAATTAAAAACATTTAGCCTTCCAACCTAGACAATAAAAATTCCAACAATGGATTCAAAGCAGGATCCGCCCTTGCTGGGGCACACAGCCTCTTTGATCAATACAAAATAGTCGGTTAACAGGCAGTCTTTATACTGCCAATGCTGACATTCATTTCTATGATGGATTGGGTAAAGAATATAGCCAAAGTGGGTAGCTTGACCTGTCCTGCTTGACTGTGTCCTAATGTCCAGTGGTACAAACTCTTCTAGTGCAGATTTAAGATTTTACTCTCCCTTTCTCTCAAATTCAGTGTCCCTCAAATCTCCATTGCTTAGCTGAGAGGGGCTCTCCAATAAGCAATAAAGCAAGACAAGGTCAACAACCATCACGCGAGAACTAAAGTTCAGCAGGACCTGTACTTTGCAGCGCCTCACAGCAAAATGCTCCAGCCTGTCTATCCAAACACCTTAAACACCTTTTATTATTAGCTGGCTGGCTAGCTCAGTGGTTAAGTATCGAACTGAGGAGTCAGATGTTGGCAGTTCAATTCCCCCACTGGGCCTTCTGTGAGTAGAGCCAGCCTGGGTTGCCTTGGGCCAACTGCACAGTCCCAGGGCGCCCCCAGAAGAAGGGAAGGGTCAACCACGTCTGAGTACTCTCAGCCTGGAAAATCCTGAAAAAAGGGTCACTATAACTCCGAACTGACTTGCTGGCACCCTTTCAATAAATCTTGCTCCCACGCTTGTATCCTCAACATCATTTGTAGTTGGAGACCATTTTAATTTAAGAAGTTGCCTTATGAACCCACCCTTCTCCTTCCTGTCAGCTCCAAAGGTACAGTATTAGAGGCATCATTTAAAGTGGTTAGGGGGGGGGGAGGCAAAAATATATTTTTTAATTTTTGGACTTTAATTCGCTAATGCCAACCCGCCTAATGCTCGAGTTTCCAGAAGTCTTTCAAAAACCATTAGCCACTCCTTCTTAGTACTTTTCCCTTCATACTGTTTTTCCAGTTGTCTTGGTTTTCCACTTAAAGTGCATCTGTACTGTACGCTGTAGTAAAAAAAAAAAAAGAAATCTGTAGTCAGTTTTAATGGAAGCAGTGGAATTAAATTAATGACGTGGATCTTAAATTCCACAGAGACTGTCCAAATGGCTCATTCAGGAAATTTATTTTTCAGAAAGCTCCTGCGTGCTAAAATAAAGTACACATTAAGTTTCCTCTCACTCTCCTTTTATAAAAGAAGGATTTATTTAATTGTCGTTTGCTTTCATTGTTTTTGAGCTAAGTTTGCCATAACTCTCATCAGGTTTTCCATTCTGTAATTGTGTATTTATATTAACAGAGACTGAGCATAGACTGTGGAGGGGTGGTGGTGGAAGGGGTGGAATATACAACGGACTTTTCTTTTCCATGTCATAGGTGGTACGCCCTGGGGACTTATTAAATGCAAATCCGTATCGATGCTTAATTGGTGAAACTCAAAATAGCACTGAGAATCCAGTTTTTGAAAGGCATGTCTTAAAGTCGAGGTGTCCTTCCTCTCATCTTTAAGGGTGAGCACTCTGTGCATGCTCCGAGACTCCTTATTAATCTGAGATATTCTGTAACTGAGGTTGATGTCGATGCAGAGATGCGAAAAAGAAGTTCGTTTTTTTACCTATGACTCCCAAAACGCTCCAGCGAGGATGACCAGGCTATCTCAGACATTTTGGAGTACTAGGCTAGAAAGAGAATGTTTCCTATCTCCGGTCCAGGGTAAGTAACCATTTCCCATCTAGAAGTTTCTGGGATTACGGCTCCTGTCAGTCTTGATTACTATTCATCCCGCTTGGGTCTAATGGGATTTGGAGTCAAGCATAGAGAGGACCACAGCTCACCCACCTTTGCCGTACAGCACTCAAAGCAGGCTCATGGTCTGACTGGCTTGCCATCTATCTACATACTGCACCTTCGGGCGGTTGGCAGAGGACGGCCTTCAGGGCCTATAACTGCACAAGCAACCAGCTTGGGTCTCTGTCCCCCTTGGGAACAGCAGTATTTGGGTTATCATTTTGACTGGACCACAGAACTTCTGCTTCGCCACTACGACGGTGTGCTATGACGCAACCACACCAAGAAGTTGACAACTTCGGTAAACAAATTTGCAAGTCTCACATGAAAGGCAACCCTTTCTAAATGCAAAGGGTTCTTCTCTGTAAAATACATGTTCCTTAAGAATTCCACAGCCTGTGATTTAGATAAAAGCCCTCCTAAAGATGGAACTTTCTCCTTCTTCCAAAAAACTAAATCATTGTTTTCTATCCACAAGGACCCCCCCCCCAAAAAAACCCCACGGTATTGTTTACATTTTTCGCCTCCTTCTTCAAGACGCTGTAATGCAAGAGCAAAGGATGTAATCCAGCCAAGGCTTTATTTACAACACAGCAAACCACAAGGGAAGGAGCTGATCAAGTTTTCCTACTGGATTAAGGACAGGAGGAGAGAACGTGCTGGTCTGCCCACAGGCCGTGATATTTCACATACCACTCAGAACCCAGGCGGACTCTGTAGCAACATCGGACGACCCGTGGCCCATCTGGGAAGTTACATAATTCAGACATCCAGCTCCAGCTACAAGGGATATGTATCACTGACCGACTTTTAAAGACTGGTCCATGTCAAAGCAGCCTATAGGTCAGCCGTTACCACTGCACCTCCTGACGCTGAGTGCATCATTTAAGAGTGTGATATACTATCTTTCTTCAGCAACATCCACAGGACTTTTCATTACTTACAAACCTAGCTACAATATAGGAGATTTGAAACAAATAAGAAGAAATCTATCCTAGATCCTTTTCAAGAAACTGTTGCCCCCTTTTTAAAATGACGTATAAGCAAAATATTCCTGTTTAAACATTTGTAGCTCTAAAACTCATGCAGTCTGAAGAGAAGCCAGAGTACAGTGGTGTGTAGGAAGATCCCGCCTGTGGTTGACAACCTACCATAAATACAATAGATATGGCATGAGCTCCTTTGCAAGGGCAACAGAAAATTGCTGGGTGAAGACAAAGGAGTCAAGTTAGAGAATATTTTCTGTGGGTAACAGGAAGTCACCTGACATTATGGCTTGGCGCCCACACACAGCACCCACTCTTTCCTCCCAGGTCATAATCATGTGGCTAAATAATGTGCGGAGCTAAGTGATTTCACTGGAAAGGAGACAGAAAGAAACAACTACAAAGAGACCTTTTTTCTGAAGAGACATTTAAACTTCTGGGTACCCGGAGCGGGGGGGGGGGGGGAAACATCACTCACATGAGAAAACATTGATGAATTTAGCCCAACACTGTCAGCGCTGACTGACTATACAGCTTTCCGGGTTTCACAGAAGCACAGAATAGCTGAGTTGGAAGGAGACGATCAGAACATCGAGTCCAACTCCCTGCTCATTTCAGGAATCCAGATCAAAGCAGATCTGAAAGCTGGTGGTCCAGTTTTCCCTTGAATGTCTCCAGTGTGGGAGCATTCAGGCAGAATTCTTTTGTTAAGATCCTCCATGCTCTCCAAAGGCCTTCCATTCAAGTACTAACCTTGTCTGACCCTCGTTTAGCTCCCCAAAGCAAACAAGACAAGACCACCAAACCCTGCAACCAATCCATCACTGAATTTCAGAGGGCCTTCCGTCTGCCTCTGGGCAGCATCCTAGAGATGCTGTGGGGCTCCATCATGGGGAAGTGTTTCCAAAGCCTCTCAGTGGTTGTGGGGGCTGCATCACAGAAGCAGGACTTAAGAAACTAATTATTTCCAAACTCTTCTTAAAAGTTACAAAGGAGTGCCGTTTTCCTTGTCAAAGAACCGAGGTTTTTGCACATCGGGGGGGCACGCGGGGGATTGGACTCTCACCTCAACCATCTGCACAGGCAAGCCCAATGAACAAGATATGCAAAAGAGGGAAGCCCATAGATTTACCTGGTTTGCATAACGAACACAGTTAGCACCATTCTGTTTTTGCTAGCGCAAAATGGTATTGATAGATCAAGCGCACAGCCTGTAACACCGCATACTTTCAGGTGTGTACATCTATTGCGAAGCTGCAAAATAATAACAATGCAGATTTCTACTTCCTGAAAACCGCTGTTTATATTAGATCACATTATTAACATTCCAAATTTTTCAGGTCTTATGGCTATGAAAATCTCCTTGAAGGCCTTCCGAAATCTCAAAAGCTAGAGGTTGAATGACACATCTCAGGATCAGAGATCAGGCTTGCTAAAGCTTACCTAGCAACTCAAACCTCACTGCAATCAGAAAAACCATCGCGGGTCAAGAGGAATACCTTTACTCCGTTTTGTACATTTGTAAGCCTAGAATGCACATTTCCTTCTGGCGGAACTTTAATTGCCTGGATGCACAATACCCCTGCTTTCTCTTTCTGGCACAGAGTACATACAGTCATTAATACAGTACCACTAGAAATCGGAGGGTGAAGCCAAAATGAGTTGGGCAGGAGACTCGAACCCTTAGCTTAGACTGACTCTCTTGAGAGATGTCCACACATAAAACACCAGAACTTACCTTGGGGGCGCAAGAGAACCACCCGAGATGTGTCTACGCGTTGTGGAGAATCAAGGCAGCATCTCAGATGAAGGAGGTCAGCACCAGTCCCTGAACATCAAGGTCCTAGAGGGAAACCAGACCAATATGGGCTTAACAAGCAAGCCAGCGGGAAATTGGGAGCACAAGCAGCTCGGCTCCAGCTTTCTAGCACTAAAAGGAGACCACTTTGGAGACTTTTGGAGAGTATATCGCCCAAGAGACTCTGCAAGACATCCCCTCAGCAGGCTGGAAATTCAATACGTGACAGTAGGCGGCCAGAGCAGCACGTTGGGGATTTCAACTAGCTCCAAACTCTGAGTCATCTTGGTCTCTCTACCTCATAGAAATTTAATGGTAAGGGGCAGTAGGAGACAATAGGGAACGCCGGCACCTTCCATGTACTCCTTCCTTCCTATCAAAGCTCCCAAAAGAAATTCTCAATTTCTCACTCGCTGTGATTCTTCTCAGTCCCCAAATGGCCAACTTTTGTAATGGTCCCTGTAATGCTCACCAGGCAATGACTGTCATGCACCCAGGGCACTATGAGAAGACAACTCACAACTCCCAGAATTGTTGCGAGTTTCGGAATAATGTAATCCAGAAACATAAAAATTCTCAAGTTAAAAAAGGAGGGCTCAGTGGGTAAAAACTTAGCAAATGTCTATTTATTACAGAAACTACGTCAGCTGCTGTGAAGGATCCAAATCTCATCTGCTCTGTTCCCATCTTCTCTTCTGTTGAAGACCTTTTATTTATACCTCTGATTATTTCTATATTAATATGCAGTTTTATCTCATTTGTGATAAACCCCACCTGTTCCCCAACATGTTCTGCCTCCTGTTTCTCTGCACAAACAAAAAGAAGACTAAAAGCATTCATATTTCCCTGGCCACCAACAACACCAACACCACCTGAACTTGGGGTGGAATTTATTTTATTCTCAAAAACAACAAAGTCATGACAAGTGATTAACTAATTACCTCTAAATGTTTCCTATGCTGTTAAAGCACGCATTTGAATAATCACTTTCCTGGATTGCCTGTGGTAATTTGAAGGCAACCAGGATGGATAATATTGTAATCATCATTGTCATTATGGAACATCAAAGTCCATTCTGACTTATGGTGACCCTTTTCAGGCTTTCCAGGCAGAAAGTACTCAGAATGTTCTAAATGGATATAGTACAGAAATAGGACTTCTTCTCCCTCCATAACATGGGCAAGGTTTATGGACATGCTTGGACAGCTGATCTTAGCATTAGTCTGTGGAAGAATAGTAAGAAGACTCAGGAAACCAGGGCTCAAATCCGCACTCAGGAAACCAGGGCTCAAATCTGCACTCAGCTATGACTCTCACAGTCATCACCGCTAACCCTGATCCCTTTCACAAGACATGACTCTCTTCCAGTTTAAGGGGAATAAAATTTGTGCTTCCTTCTCCTCTTAGGCTAGGATGTTACAAATGAGGATTAAATCTTTACTGCTCACGCAATTTTAAAACGCCAGGATTCTCGCAAGTATTTAGAATTCGCCACCTCAGCCAAATTTTGTTCATCCAGCTTCTGGCAGTCACTCTTCGGGGTCACAAAGAAGGACTTTGCCATCACCTGAACCCTTAAACCTAAAGAGGCCACAAGGCTTCAACTGAGTGCCGCTCTGAGCACAATGTAAGGTACCCCGTTACTGAGCTACAGCCTCTCCCCAAGACTGGAAAGCACATTAACATCGCTTGAACAGGACCCAGAACAGAGGCAGGTTTGTTTATTTCTCGCTGTTTCTTTCTTTCTTTTTTCAAGTAGAAAAGGGAAAGTTCTGATAGTTTTATCTGAGTTTATGAGCCCTGCACAGCAGAAGTCAGACTAAAAGCATTCATATTTCCCTGGCCACCAACAACACCAACACCACCTGAACTTGGGGTGGAATTTATTTTATTCTCAAAAACAACAAAGTCATGACAAGTGATTAACTAATTACCTCTAAATGTTTCCTATGCTGTTAAAGCACGCATTCGAATAATCACTTTCCTGGATTGCCTGTGGTAATTTGAAGGCAACCAGGATGGATAATATTGTAATCATCATTGTCATTATGGGCCATCAAAGTCCATTCTGACTTATGGTGACCCTTTTCAGGCTTTCCAGGCAGAAAGTACTCAGAATGTTCTAAATGGATATAGTACAGAAATAGGACTTCTTCTCCCTCCATAACATGGGCAAGGTTTATGGACATGCTTGGACAGCTGATCTTAGCATTAGTCTGTGGAAGAATAGTAAGAGGACTCAGGAAACCAGGGCTCAAATCCGCACTCAGGAAACCAGGGCTCAAATCTGCACTCAGCTATGACTCTCACAGTCATCACCGCTAACCCTGATCCCTTTCACAAGACATGACTCTCTTCCAGTTTAAGGGGAATAAAATTTGTGCTTCCTTCTCCTCTTAGGCTAGGATGTTACAAATGAGGATTAAATCTTTACTGCTCACGCAATTTTAAAACGCCAGGATTCTCGCAAGTATTTAGAATTCGCCACCTCAGCCAAATTTTGTTCATCCAGCTTCTGGCAGTCACTCTTCGGGGTCACAAAGAAGGACTTTGCCATCACCTGAACCCTTAAACCTAAAGAGGCCACAAGGCTTCAACTGAGTGCCGCTCTGAGCACAATGTTAGGTACCCCGTTACTGAGCTACAGCCTCTCCCCAAGACTGGAAAGAACATTAACATCACTTGAACAGGACCCAGAACAGAGGCAGGTTTGTTTATTTCTCGCTGTTTCTTTCTTTCTTTTTTCAAGTGGAAAAGGGAAAGTTCTGATAGTTTTATCTGAGTTTATGAGCCCTGCACAGCAGAAGTCATCTGCTGTTTCCTGCTTAGGAGCTAAGTGAACAAGTGCTCAACAATGTCTTCTCATAATGTGTCCGGGCCATTCATATACATATACAGTAGATCTTTCAGAAGGTGCATGATAGCTTCGGTTCGAGCCTCAAAGACTCTATGCTTTCAAAAATAACATTTCATGTGCAGGAGATACAATCCATGCTACACACGTTAGGCAAATAAACCCTCTTTTCCCACTCAGCTTATTTGAAGCAATGTGTTTCGAAATGTTGAGCACTAACCATGCAGAAGGTGTCCAAAAAACCCCCCGCTTTGTTGCCCAACTCAGAACATATTCCAGCAGGTCAACATCTTTCCGAAGGACTCCAGCTGAGCTCAAAACAAAGCGGAAGAAAGTGGTATCATTACATGTCATGTGCCCATAGAAACAAAGGAGTGCAGCCGTCTTCGAATCTCAATATTTGAAGCTCCCTTCAGCTCATCAGTGTTTTGAGTCACAAAAACCTACGGCTTAAATCCAGCAGCTTCTCCTGACTAGGGTAGCTCTATCTAGTAATCTAGCAAATGCTAAGTAACCCCCATTAAGTCAATGGGGCTAACCCTAGCTGGGACTAGTAACTGGGTTTAGGCTGCTGTGGACAAACATCTTCTAGAAACAAAGGCCTTAATCCAACAGTAAGTCCCAGCAAGTGGAGGTCCCTTCAACCAACACAGAGCTTGATAAGTCAATTGTTGGTAAGCTCCATTGATTCAGCAGGTCTACTCTACTTCAGGAAAAAGACATAAGCATCTGTGGTAGAAGCATATGTGGACAAGGGTTGGGGGCG